AATTACCACAAGAAGAAACCAAAGGAGCTTATTCATATAAAACATCTCTGCGATGTTTACACTTTTCAAGCCCCATATTGAGTGGCACGAGCAAAGTTCGCCTCGAATTTAAGAGCAGTTATTTTTCAAGTGCAGGGGCAAGCCTTGTGTACGATAATAGTTATGCGTGTAAAACTCTGCATCAGGTACTGGACTTGCTTTGAATGTCGAGTTTAAATAGAGTAAACAGATTTTCGAGGAGATTGAAATATGGTTGAAGCTAACCTGCCAAAGGCATGTGTAGAAGAATTCAGGCCCTACAACCTGGCAAAACTTTTCAATCATATTGTTACCACGTTCAAAGAACTCTGATCCTTCTTCAAGACCGGGTAGCAGGCCCTAAAAAATGGTAGAATAAGCACCAGAGTTGCCCATTTGAGCATAAATGCAGTTGAGATAAAATGTCCGTACTCACTTGTAAAAGTCCCAAAAACGCATTTCTCAGCTTGTCCCCGAGGGGAAGAAAGTAGGTTTCGAATAGGTTAAAGAGAAGTGGCTTGACGGTCATGGCGGAAGGACCGAGGAGACCGAAGAGACAGGGACCGTAAATACTAATGTCAGCAGCAAGGTGATCGGGGCCCATAATGCGAAAGATAAGGTCAAAGCACTCAAGAGTCTTGCAGTGAACACCTGGAGGGAGAGCAGGATGGAGACATTGCGCCAGGCGTTTACCCAACAAGCGTTTTTCCGGTATAACGTCGTAGCGATCATATTGTTGGATTAACTAGGGACACGTAACTAATTTCAGTGAGCAGAGAAAATAATACGTATATATTGACCTGCACAAACTTTCATAGTTATAATTTTTAAAAGTATCCTTAATTTATAGACACCAACTTACCTTCATTAAGCGCACAAGAGAAGAAATCAAATCAGCCCATTCATTCGAATACTCAAATGACTTAAGACATTTATCTATTGCAATTGAATAGGATCTATATTTTGGATCCGACTCAAAATTGGACTTCCGATTCATGGCAGCAGTAAAAGTTGTATTTGCAGTTCAGTTAAGGAACGAAGCCCTCGTGTGCCTATGAGTCAGTTGTAGCAAACTGATGAAGTAGGCAGGATGTGCAGCTTTTAAAGGTCAGTAATAAAAATAATTTTTGGTATTCGATTTCCATATGCACTTGCTTTTGTTAAACGCATTTATGCAAACAATTTATTCCGTAAATTTTCTGTGTATTATATTGACCAACATAACTAATTATATTAAATCAGCGTTGCCAGCTGTCAACAGATTTATAACATCAGTTAGGTATTAAGGCCGATTACATTCTTCGGATGAGAGGTGTGACTGGCTCGTAAGTACAAATTACATTGTGTCAAAGACGTTTAGTCCGTACAAACGGCATTATTGCCGATATTGCTAAGTACTACCCTTTACCATCCCGACTTATTTAATTTTCTCCCACCTCAAAGAATGGGAAGAAGAAGAATGGATAGACCGTATCGACCATTTAGCTACAAAGGAGTTATTAATTGCATTGTCAAACAAGAGATAACCTAACGTTTGAGGACCTCCTAGACCATAATATAATGCATGTTGATTATACGTTTATTTAAGCCTCTTAAGATAAGTATTGAAATACTTTGTTTATGTGACCACCTGGCGTGTGGTAGTCACTTTAGGACTTGTCTGGCTCTTGTACTCGTGGGCTAGCCTTCGAGCCATGCTTAGGCCAGTATATGTGTTCAGCTTCACCTACTGACTTCTTCCAGCCCGTAGAAGTCTCGAGACGCTACAATGTGAATTCGTCTGGCTATTAAACGCGTAGGCTGGCATTTGGGTTAAGCCTAGACCTAGTCTCTTTGTTCACCCTAAAAAGCATGTATTCAGCTCCACTTACCATCCTCTTCCACCATGTGGGAAGTCTCAGACAGGACCACAGCATCCCGAGAATTCCCGCGGGATAGAAAAGGCATTAAGTAGAGCCGAATGCACGCTAAGCCTGAGCTTGGCGTGAAGGGTAGTCCAAGCGTAAAAGAGTTGGATGATTTTCTAGTAACCACAAGACATTCGATCGTGACATAAACAAGGTATTACAGACTGTCGCAGATCGGAGACCAGCTCATCCTGGAAGCGTACAATGGCCACAGAATTTGCGGCTATTCATATAGGAACACAAATAAATAGTGCATTACATGCATACACCTGTAGCATCCCGAGGCTTCCCATAGGGTGGAAGAAGGCATAAATGAGGTTGAATGCATGTGTTCCGAAGACGATAAGGCAAATGGAGCCTGAGCGTGTTCCGAAGACCAGCTCACATGTATAGGGGCCAGACAAAGTCTAAACTGACCGCCAAACGCCAGGTAGCCACATAATGCATTACACTGTCCCTATCTTCTTTTGAGCGACGTCCTCGGCGCTCCCCTTGGTAAACCTCCCACCCCAAGCCATCACATATTCGGTACTACATGAAAGCACCCATGAGCCAACTGCGCCAGTCGACAGATGGCATGAGACTGAGGAACCGTACTTGGTCTCCTCGACAGCTTCAACTGGATCTGGAGTTATGTTCGATATGACAACCGCATTCGAGGCCGCATACATCTGTTGACCATTAATTGTTTCCACGTCTAGACGATGGAACTCTGGTCTAAAGCAGTTATGTTGCAAGGAAAACGGGATGAGCCACTATCCCGCATGTCAGGAGAACCGTGGTGTCATTTTCGACACTTAAACACGGGTTCTGTATGGAAAATTCCGACAAGAAACTTTTCCAAATAGTTCACGGCGGTGTTGCTTCAGTTGATAATAGCTTGTCTGTGGAACATGGGAATAAGGTGAAACAAAATGCAGACGTCAGTCTAAATCATTTCTTTGTGAAGGACTAAGGAATTCTCCATCACCAAGGTAAATGCTCCTCCTTCATTTCACGTCCCGTCTTCACCTGTATCTTCATCTATTCCACTTCGATAGAGCCAAAATTCCTCCTACACTTGTATAACTCATGATTGCCAGAATGAGCTTATTAATCCTTGATTCCTCCACCACGATGTAGAATTCCTTTGCAGTCTTCTATGCTGGTTGGATTAT